AAAAGTTTACCCTGACATACCCTACAGTTTTCAAAATAATACCCTAGCCCTACCCTACCCTACGAGAGTCGTACCCTAGCCCTACCCTATCATATGGTAGGGTATAGGGTAGGGTAGGGCTGCAGGATATCGATACTATCGATATTGAAAATATGGGTTAAAAATTTTAAAAATTATCAGAACAGAAATTTACAAATAGAGTCATTACACTATGAAAATATCTTTTGTGCAAAAGAGATGATTCTCTAAAGTGTGGTGCACACTTCACTAGTAGATATCTCGTCGTTTGCTACAGTGATCAGCTACAGCCTCTCGACTACTATAAAAAACTTAATTATAAAGAAGAAAGTTGTATCATGCAAGATATCTGAACAGGCACGAATCGTTAACTGGATTTCCTGAGCAATACAATCTTTTTATCATATTTCAGGTACAAAAAGTGATCAGTGTTGTAGGTAACATTGCTAATAAAGTTTTCACCAATAACACAAATCCACGCTGGTTCATGCGCTATATCTAGTGCCATTTTAATCTTTTTAGTCACACTAGATTTCTAACCACCTTCATCAATAGCTGGAATTATGATAGAGATGAGGCGTTCTTGTAAATACAATGACATATTACAGATGATGACTTTGAATTTACAGTTTGGAGATGTGTAAAGAACATCTAAAAATTCGATAAAGCTATTATAAAATTCCTATTATGAATAAGTAGAACATTTTGCAATGTTAGTTTCAAAATCAAAATATTGAAATGTTTGTCTGCTATTGATACACTAACGAGCATTGCCTCATTGAATTTATAATGATGAAGAGACTCTCATCAATGCCACTTTTCCTTTTCTAACTCAAACAAAATGATCATTTATTATTGTTGTTCTTCTTGCTTCAAAAAGTACACCAAGAAAAAATTCTAAAACGTCTATTGGATAATGTGTCTAGAATATTTCTGGTATTTTGTTTTTTTAAAAATTTAGAAACTTTAAGAAAGAGCCAAACATCAGAAAGAAAGTGACGTCTGTGCATTGTAAAAATCTCTTGAACCATTCTCAAAAAATGAATACTCAAATAAGACAAGGGTGTAGGTGTGGGGTGTGGGTGTGGTGGGTGGTGGTGTGGAGTGTGGGTGTTGGTCTACGATTCCTCTACACCCAAACGCAAATCCATACCCACACACTTACCCACATCCACACCCCACACCCACACTTATCTGTGCTCACTGCAGCAGTGACAGTCACTGAAACACTGACTATACAGTGATTGGTGACCAGTAGAACACCGATGCATTGATATTGGTTTCTATTGTTTAGAATTTACATTAGATTAGTGTGACATCTACCGAATATAGTACGTGGGTTCAAGGAAAATTTTTGGTCGATGTAAGAGCATAGCAGTGTAATAATTTCTCAGACTTTTCTCTTAAAGTTGAGTCTATTCAAGGTTCCATTCTCTGATCGAATGAATAATTATTCTTCCACTATCCTGATCGATTGCACGTCGTGTTTTGCTTGCTATTCTCTCCCGTGGTGTTTTATCTTTTTTCATCCTTTCGCTTCTTTTCTGACCATTTTCTTCAAATTTCACTTTTCTAATTGGCAAATGATATAGAATGCACTAGACATTAACTTTTTCAATCGTTTCGTCCGATACGTCATATTACGCAATTTGAAAAAAGTGAGGAAGTGCTGGGTTTTTTTCCTCATTATTCTTCAGATATGAAGCCCTCACATTTATGTTAAAAGCTGTTATTATTCATGAAGTTACATAAGTTCGTGTACCGTGTTACAGATCTGACGTGCTTAGGCATATACCGAGCCCGAGCTACTTAGGCTCAGTACATGCCTAGTTACAACGATACGAATTAACTCTACGACTGTAAATAGATTTCAGGAAGTTACATTTTCATTAGATGAATCTATTTAGTTGAGTTTTATATTAATAGTAGAAATGTACAAATCTGCATATAGGTGAATCGAGATCAGAGAATGCGCTTCGATTCTCACTATAATCCAACAAAATACTTTACATCAATTAAAAGGTTTTATTATATTTACATCTATAATTAGCTTTGTGTCTTTCTTGAATGCTTAGACAAGAAGATTAGGGTGTGGATGTGGATCTTCTCTTCACACCCATACCCGCACATAAATCTACTTTTGAACATTCTAGACTACAATCTTGAGGGCGAAGACAAAAATGTCAGACGATTCCTCGTCATAAAATGCAAACCAAGCTCAAACACTAGTCCAAGTAGGATATACTCCGATCAGAACTCTATAGTGAATCGTGACAAACTAAAGTAAAATTTTGAATGCGTTTCTTTTGTTTTTACAAAAAATTATTTTTGGTAATTCGGCGCCATTTGCGTCATATTAAGTTTTGACTATAATACATTAAAAACAACGAAAATTGATTGAAATTGAAACCGTATTCATCATTTGCTATTCGACTGCTTTCAATGTTATTTCCTACTCATGCTTGGAATAAAGCAAAATGAACTCCCTTTGTACAAGTCAGACTCTAAAGATCTACTTGACATTTTTCTCGTAGAGTTTGTAACTAGTAAAATAGCATAATCATAAGTTATTCTGTATTGATGCTTTATCGTTAGTTTGGATACTTTTTATTATCGGATTAAACCGTTTCTAGCAACGCATGTTATATTGATTCCAGCTTTTTTTGAACATTTTCGGCATGTTGTATATAAGAAAAGCTCGTTAATCATCGTAGAGTAATGGAAATGATGTAGCTGTTTGAAGCCTGAAAATAGAAAAAAACAGAGAATTCAATACATGCGATCTCATCGAATAAATAAATATCGTGGATAAATGAAAGGTGTCGATAACAGACATATCATTCTTCTTGTTTCTTTTTTTTGCCATACTTACCAATTTTCTTTACTGTAAGTTGAATTGTGTGTTTCAAAAATGTGAAATGCACATATTTGTCTTGTCTGCGGTGATTTATCTAAATAGGAATACATGAGCGAATAAAATTGATTCGATTCAAAACATCATACTCTGTTCACTCTTGTGTACGACTTGACCATCGATAAGAATCGCATCACCTGAAAAAGAAAATTTTATGAACAAAATTAAACAGAACTCGATAATTCTACCAGCTTTGACTTCAACAGGAATAAAGGCACTATCATCATATTCTTCTTCTCCTTGAAAAATTAGCACTTTGCCATCGTTAAATTCTTGTTCATTTGGATTTCGAATACAACGTCGTTTGGTTGTTGCTAAACAGGATCGTATTTCTCATGAATATATGCATACAAAACGAAGCAATTCACTCGAATTCGAGCCAGGTATAAACCAGAGACATCCATTTTCAATTGTAGCATCTTCAAGAGCAATCCATATGCCGACAGCTTTGAAAGGTTCACTAAGTATATATGTTGAATCTCGATGAGACTGGACTATTGAGTATGAACAACAATGAATTCGTTGATTCTAGAAAATAGATAAGACTGACCTTTCTCTCCAATGAACGGCTGTTTGAAGATGTAGAACATTTGTCGAAGGGCAGGCTTGATATACTTGAGATCACGTGCAATTGCCTGAGAAATAAATTAAAGAATTCTAAAAAATAATCAATTACTGCAGTGTTTATTACTTTGACCTTATCCGAAAATACGATTGTTTTGAATTCCGGTCCGACAGTATGAAGAGCATGACCAATCACACTCACGCTAACATGTTTATCACGATTGAGTTTGCCTATTTCGATTTAGAAAAACAATTTATCCATCAATACGATAACCTTTGTTTGCGTTTGCACAATACCTGTTTGGGGATCGACAGCATCGTTTTCGATAAAAAATGAAATCGTATCACCGCTATCGATAAGTTCTTGATCCATTGATCGTTCTTTAGTTTGACCATGTGGAAACATCCATGAATAATCTTGTTCCGGTTCCCAATCGTCGATCAATCGATCGACAGTTGTTTTCAACTTTTGACATTCACTAAGTGTTAATAGTTGTTTGACAACAAGAAAACCATCTTGTTCATACTATACTTTTAGAAAATATCCACATTTATAGTTAACAATAGCAGAAAACATACACGTTGAAGTTGATCTTGGGTCAACATTTTGCTTGATGATGAATCTATGCGAGTGTGTGTTTGAGTTGGTCTTGCTATACGACCTTTTTCTTATAAAAAAAAGATAAGACAAACAATACGACATTGTAGAATAAAGGGACATGTAATGTTGACAATGCATATTGACGGTATTCTTAATGTCATCAAATAAAATGATAACTCAAGTATAGAAATTAGAGTTTTATACATTTTAACCCTTTTTAAAGGGTTCGCCACAGGACCAACCTAGGTCGCCGGGGAAAAAAATCGATTTAGTCATCTGAAATGAAACGTCTAGTTAAACCATAGTTAAATCCAAAATATTAGGTCATTTGGTTTTACCTATGAGAAATGCGAGCTAAAACAAATTTAAAGGGTCTATTTTGACCCTAAAAAATCGCTCAAAATAGGTGTGCTCAGTATTTTGACATTTTCCATAAACAGTTTGACCGTTTGAGGTCGGAAACGTCTCGTTAGATAGAGAACAGTATAGGCTACAAATTTATTCTATTCAAGTAACTCATATATAGAGTAAAAGAAACGCTATAGTTTCAAAACCGCCCACATCTCCAGAAATCTCACTTTCCCGGATTGCTGGTATTTTGAAATTTTCTTCAGTGATGCACGTAGATCTGTAGTTCTTTTTTTATCAGACATAGATCTCGTTAAGACACATCTTTTGACATTAAATTGTCCAATGAAAAAAACTGGGGGGTGAAGTTAGCATGAACCACACCGTGGACTCCCCTACCTAGTGACCATTGGTCCTACTCCTTAAAATCATACAATTTCTATAGAAATCACGAAAATTGACTTCAGATTCCTGTTCAACTCGTAAAACTGGGTCGGATAGGCTATTTTAAATTGATCTCTTACTTATATCAAGCGTGGTCAAGATTATGGGTCCATCTAATAGATATATGATAGATAGATGCACCAGTATTTTGATCATAACTCAACAATATTAACAGCTATGGAGCTCGGATTTTTACCATTCGATAGCCCTTTTCAAAAGCTAGAAAACTGTATATTTTCCAAACTCAGAAACCACTGATCACTTGAGGCATGCCAAGACACATTAGTTTCGGAGCATGGTTCTATACATTTTTGATCCCGTTTTAGCCAGTGTTTAGTTAAAAAGCAACGATTTGAATCATATTTAATATCATATTTGGAATTAGCGTGGAAAACTGAGTCGATTCATATATGTTTCAAAGATTTCTGAGAAATTTTTTTTCTATGAAAAAATAACCCTGTACTCCTCCTCAGGGTTCATGAAAAAATGATTTCTATCAAATTAGTGTTTTTGTCGTTTAGACTTTTGGCATTTTACTTTTGTTGAAATTAGAGAAGCTCGCGTATTTTGTTCTACACGATAAATGGCACTTTCGATAGA